AATATCAAGTAGAGGAACTCTGATGTGAAGGGAGCTCCTGATGTGAAGGGGGGACTCTGGCAAGCCTTTAGCTTGTCAATCAGCACTTGGTCACACCTAATCCTGATCACTGCTTTCTGAATTGAAAGCCCTCCTTCGTGCCAACACTTACATGTGTGAGCTTGTAGAGAAGGTATTAAATTAGGTGTACGTAGTGCTTAATAGAGTTCTTCTTTTAGTGGCACCACTGAGCAGACAATCTCCAAGCACCACTGCTGCCTCATGGAAGGAATGGTCAGTGTGTGAGGTAGCTCTAGACCCATTGGGGAGATCTCTGGGGCCACTCAACGCGTAGAAGCACTCTGTGGGCCTCTTCAAAGCGTGTTGAAGTTAATTAATTATTCCCCTTTATTTAAAACTATGTGAAAAAAGTAGCCAACGGAGTTAACCCCTTTCTGCAGGGCAAAATGCTGTTGATAACAGATAACATGTTTCAATAATAGTAGCTGTCGATACCATTTTTTATAGCACTTCTATCCCTTCACAAAAACCATCATGCAGAAGGAACATGTGTGCAAGAGTGAATTACTTGCTCCCCCCATATTCGGTACCAGATATGTGCCTTCTTTCTCCTGGATGAATGAAGCAACCAGTGAAGGAAGGAAATGTAGGTATAAACAGTTAAGGTGGCTGTCATAAAATGAGACCTGTCACTTTGCCCTTCAAAGGGAAAGCAGATGTTCACTTTTGATTTCCACCTGATCAGACTATTGTTATTTACTGCTAGGTCTGCGGTTTTCATAAACCTATTCCATAAGTTCTTTTTTTTTCTACCCAGCATAATAGAAGTGAATCCCATATTTCTCCAGTGAGGACAAAACAATGGGAATTATTGTGCCAGATGGGGAATTTATGGATTACATAGCCTTTAAGGAAATCTGAGACTTATCATCAAAGTACTTTGCTATGATTTCTCTCTTGATCATCTCCTCAGCGGGTCAGTAGTCTTAAGCGAGGCTTTTACAATGATAAACCAGTAATGTTTTGTAGCAATCTGTTCCTGATTATATAATTGGAAAGTAATGTACCCCTATCACGGCTTAGTCAATGTAAAGAAGACACATGGTGTCACGGTGGAGAATTATTACTAACATCATGTTTTTATGAATCTGTATCTTAGGTGTTGTGCAATCCTTTTCAGAGACAGTTTATTGGGCTGCATCATGCAGTCAGCTTGATACACGATTAGAGAACATACTTCCATTTATGGACACCTGTCCAGCATACCTATACTGCATTGTCAAATGTATGTGGATATCCCTCCTCGTGATTGAGTTCAGGTGTTACCACTGAAGGATACTGTTACTGCCACAGACTTCTACAGACAATTGTGCATTCCAACCTTGTGGTAACAGTTTGGGGAAGGCCCTTTTCTGTTCCAGTATGACTGTACCCCTGTGCACAATGGCATGCTTTGACCAGTTTGCAGAGAAACTTAACCGGTCTGCACAAAGCTCTGACTTCAAACCTACTGAACACCTTTGGGATGTATTGAAAAAACCAATTGCATGCCAAGTCTTCTTATGTAACATCAACACCTGACCGCACAGATGCTCTTTTAGCTTACCCTACTATGCCTTCACCTCACCGCAGAGCTCTCTAAAATAAATCCTCCCCCTGAACAAAGCCTGCTATTACAAAATACAAATATAAAATACAAAACACACTTCTGGGAAGATTAAGGGTTGCAGGTCTATGAAGGTGTCATCACCATCACAAATTCTCTTAATTATAATAGGTCCCCAGCCACAACACACTGCCTCAGGGGCAGCTTATGGATTACCACAGAGACCATACCGAACCATGAATCCTAGGGCACACCCAGTTGGCCTCAATGAACTTGAGGACGCCATACCCAAAGCAGGTCCCTTAAACATTCTAACTAGCACCAATTTTTGTAACCCCTTCATGGGCACACTAAACCACTCACTTAAACCAGGAACTGCCTTATCAGTAATCACCTGATGACAAGGAGCTGGTTGGTGGGAAGTTCACTCATGCTAATTCCAACTGAAGTTTCAGCTCTCTCCACCACTTCAAACCATTTCTAAATCCCCTTGAGACAACCTACCTACCTAACCTACCTCCAATCAGGTAAGTAACCTTCTATTTTATTGTGCCTTTTAGTCCGGTCATATCTGAATGGGCACAAATTCTCACAAACACACTCCAAAATCTTGTGGAAAGCCTTTCCAGAAGAGTGAAGGATGTTAAATCTGCACAGGGCAATTTTTCTGATTCACTGATGTTGGTTATACTCTACACAGCAAATAATGAATACCTGGTGATTTGCGCCAACTTATGAGTCCATATAACCACCTATCATGTTTAACCCTGTAGAAGGGGGAGATTTTTAAACCCCCAATATGTGTTGTCTGTTCTTTCTTATCATCTATGAACCCATTCCATTATTAAACCTTTTTGAAATTATTCCATCTTGTTTGGTGCTTTCATTGGACTGTATATCCAATGAAAGCATCAAATGAGATGTCTCACATAAAAGGGAGCATCCTATTATATGTGCAAGATGTCCCACAAACAAAGGGAATCACATTACAAATAATGACAGATAAGGGGGGGGGGGATGAGGGGGGGGGAATTAATTTTAAAGTTACTGGTAGCTATTTAAGATAAATATGCGTTAAGGATATAATTATGCACAATTAATGGTATTTTTAAATAAATATAAAAACACATACTATCACATTTTCATCAACAAAATTAATTACATTTTGACTCACTTTTCACTTTGATAAAATATTTGAGGTGCACAGAATATTTGGCACATAGAGTATCGATTTAAGGAAAGCACACAATTATTGTCTGAGCTGAAGGGTTGGAAAATGGAAACACTGATGAAATTAAAATTAACTGGTAGTTAATAATAAAAGTAAAATATAATATGACACATCTCGTTAAAGGGTAAAATTGGGAAGGCTGGCCCTGTGCAGATATAGTTTGGGTTATGGATAATGGGTATAATGTAGAGGTTGGAAGGAACTAAGGTGATGTCTTGTTTTGTTTTGTCTTGATGTTGATTGTATGTCAGCTTTGTAGAGTGTGTGAAACATGGATTGATGTTTGAAAATTAATAAATATTTATAAAACAAAGGGAATCAAGGATTGAAAACATATATCTTCAATCCTTGATTCCCTTATATGTGGGACATCCTGTATTTGCTGAGAGCAGCCTCACTGGAGCTATTGTGCTCTATCAGATACCGACCGATCTTCTAAATATAAGAATCCAGCGGCACACTTGTACTTGTTCCAAACCTGCACAGGAGGACCAACTCCATATTAGTGCCCCTGATTTTGGAATGTGATGTTCAACAAACACATATAGGTGTGATGGTCAGGTGTCCACAGACATTTGGCCATGACTTGCGACATAATGATTCCTGTGAACTATAACTTTGAATTATAGGTCCACTTTAAAACATAGGGTTTACACCACTTTCCACCTATGACCTGGCTGTAACTTTCCCTGCTGCTGCTTGTACAGGGGAGAGGAGGCCATTCTCATGGTGATTTCTGGCAAGACAATAAAATAAGCTTTGATTTAGGAACCTGAGGCTGATGTGGATAAATTACAATGAAAGCACATCTGGTTTTAAAAGGGTTAGCAGCTGTCATTGCGTGGCTATATGTGCACTTGATTACAGGTTGCTCAACCCTTCACCCCCTTGGTGAATGCTCCTACTACAGTATGTGTATGTATGTATATGTGTGTGTGTGTGTGTTGTACACGTATGTAGGAAGGATTGCAGCTGTTCTTTCCTCATTTGAAATGCATTCCCATGGCAAGAGACTCTCTGACCTCCCCTCTGCCGGAGTTTTCACCATCTGTCACAATAAATTAGGGTAATAGTTTTGTAGCTTTTATGTTTTATTGCATGAAGGGCAATAAAGATCTGAACTGTTTAGCAAGTCCGAGTGTAGCTTACTATTATCCTATTTATTTCCCATATTTTTCATAGTCCAGACATATCTCACTGGGCTTTACAGAGCATATAGTACCATTCACATCAGTCCCTGTCCCTTCAAAAGAAGCTCACAGTGCCTATTAATGTAACACTATATTCTTTAACTGTGGGAGGAAACTCAAATGAACAATACACAAACACCGTGCAGACAGGGTCCCTGCTGGGATTTAAACTCAGATCTCAGTGCTGCAAGGCAAGCGTGATAAGAATCTAGCCAAATTGTGGACCGACTCAACTTAATCAATCGGATACATGTGTCCATACTCAGTCTCGCCACAGTCTATGTGTAGCATCAATCAACTGCCCTCGTGGGATTTTCTTGTCTTATCGCTGCTGTGTTATGTTATTGCAGCTTCCATCCTTTTTGTTAAAATGTCATTTGCTTATATTTTGCCTCCCTGTTTCCTCCCTCTCCCCCTCATCAATATGCTAAAGACATATTTAAATACAATCTTGTTTTTATTACACACCTTATTTTAGATTCAGTGATGTTATGCGCTTCTCTATGCAATGCAGGCAGATCATGAATGGTGGGAGGGGCTGGCAGGATGCTGTATATAACTTCCTGAAAACATCACATTACCCTGCCTCGGTACTCCTCTCAAGAGCCCTCAGTCCTAATGCAAGCAGTGGGCTGGAAGGAGTTTTGTAAATTTCAAAATTCCATGGTGGGTGGATGTAAGTCTAGCGAAGTGGACGATCCTAGACGGGCTAAATTTGTATGCATCTCACCTTAGATAACACCCGCATGTGATGCTGAGCCTCCATTATTGAAAGAACTGATATCATATGAATGAAAGGGTGGGCCAGGGACAGTAAGTCTCAATTTCAGTCAATTCTTAGTTTGATAGATTGGAAGAAAAAGAAAAATTGTATAAAGTTTGTTTTATCCTTTTTGGAGACAATTGACCTCACGGCAAGAAATGAAATAAGAAACCGTCCATGCTGATGTCATCTGCTGTTCTTCTGTCACAGGTCACTTTCTTGGGAATTATACAGTCATTGATGTCCTAAAACAAGGTGGATATGATGTCGAGCACACCCTGCCAGGTCAAGCACATGAAAGGTAAGAACATTTCACATCACATATATCACATATACATATACATTGTATATATATAGTTTATGAATTGGCAGTGCCTGCCAAATGTGCTCCTGATCTGAATACCTGTTCTGGGTGATGTAGGCAGTATTGAAATCACAGGATTAGCAGCCAGACAACAAGCATTTTTGGAATCAGTGTTTAGCAATAGCAGCATCAACATTTTTCACAGTATGTTTCTTTGCAGTGATCCTTTAATGGATTGGGAGGAGGGGGTATCTTGGTCAATATTTGACATCTTTAAAACCTAAATCCAGCTATTTTGATTGTTTCGTTTTGCATAGGGTAAGGATGGGTTTTCTCAGCCTTTTATTTGTCTGTAAATCCAATGGGGAGATTTAGCCTTGATTCCTGCCCTTGTGACACCTATATAGGAAACAGAAAGAGTAGTTGTTTCAAGGACAAAAAGGCTCAGACGGTAATAATAACACTATAAGAAGCTCTAAAATGTCCTCTCTGCGCATAAAGTGTATATAAACCCTAACAATGATCTTCACTTATTTGGACCCTTTTGGTCTATTAAAGGAGAATTATGGGATGAGTGAAATGCATTCATCCTCATAATTGAAGCTGATGTGTGACACTGAAGCTGTCACAGGTTGGCTCTATTGATCGAGGACTGAAAAATCACATAACACTGATAGATCAGTTCCTGATCTTCTCCTTGCAGAGAGCGGTGATTGTCAGTCACAGCTCCCTGCAGGGATTCCCCCCTTCTCGAATACTACAGCGCTCATTAGAGGGACAGACAGGGGAGGGGGAGGGCACAGCTGGCTCAGCCTCTAAGGAGGAAGAGCCAGCTGTCAATAAGATGGTGGGGTGGATCCCGACAATATTGTTCGGATCTGGCCGCAGCGGACTGGCAATAACCTGCTATATGCTGAGTTTTGGGTCACAGCAGTAAATGTCCTCCTGTGACCCTAAAGAGAACTATGGCCCAAAAAAGTTGGACCATAGTTCTCTTTTAAATATACCATTTACAGTGTGTTGTTTTATCTGTTTGATAAGTTTAAAAAAAATACTTGCTGCTCCTACTAGAAATCTTGTGAGCGGATAACTTCCTGTGTTCTCCACCTATGCTAACTGTTACAAGGACACAATCTCTGAAAGCTGACAAAGGACTACAGGATCATGCCCCTCTATGGTATTGTGTGTTATGTCAGAACCACTAAAATTAAGGAGGGGAAAAAAAAGCTCAATAGAAGTAAAATAAGCGCTGCCACCACATCTAAGGACACGTAAATTGCAACATGTTACATTTTCGTTTTGGGTTTTTACAAAGCGTTCTTGTTTCCGCCTGTGTCTCCATTGAGGATCTCTCCTGTCTTTTCCTGACAGAAGCTCTATCCCTTCCCTGTTCTGTCAAGAACTAAATAAAGCCTTTTGGGCTGGAGGTGGGCTTTAGCTGTCACCTGTCATATTTCTGAACGTGCCAGTGCCCTGTCTATCATGTTGACACTTTAGCTTCACCAACCTAAAACAAGTAGAATGATAAGAAATTCTGACTTTTCTCGGACCTACATTTGATCTATGCTTGCTCTGTGATGCGCTAAAGCCTGGCAACTAGCATATTCAGAAGGAGGTCTGCAATGGCCACCTACCTGCCTCTCTCATGACAGGTACACTTTAACATGTTTCTGTCTCTTCTGTAATACACATTTCTTTTTTTTTTCCAACTCTTATAGCAGATATCTGGCACCCACAGAGTTTGTATCCTGTGTGATAGCATTTGGAGGTGACAGGTTCTCTTTATTGAAACTGTCACCTCCATTACAGGAGTTTGAGCACAGCAGTGTGCTGGAATTCCTGTGACAGCTGAGATGGGAAGGCTGCGAGTGCAGCTCTCCCATCTCAGTGTTCACACGGAGCAGAGCGGAGAATGAAAGTTTTCTGCTCTAGTCCCGGCTCTCCATCCTGAACCACCTTGCTGTGGTCCTGGGTCCCCTAGATGAGCGGGGGACCCTAAAAACCCTTGCGGAGAGGCGGCCAGCGGGGAGCAGCAGTCAGAGATGGGGGCGGATCATAGGGGGGAGGGCGGACTAGCAGGCTAATTACAGGTGATCTTGGCATTGCCGAGAACACTTGTACAAAACAAGCTGCAGCTTCCCCCGCTCTATATTTAGCTCTACTTGCCCGAAGCAAGGCTAAACATAGGAAAAAACCTACCCGCCGTCACCCGGAACTGCGTGTCCCAGGCGTCGGAGATAGGAATTCCACACCCCTCCCGCCCCTCTACTTCCCCCTCTACTTCCATCCACCCCGAGGCTGGGCCTCAGTGGCCTTGTGGGAAATCCGGCCCTGACAATGTGGCCACAGATCTGAAAGGCACCAAGTGCTAGAGGCACTTGGTCCTCTGGGGAATCAACAGCAATTTTTTTGAGTTGTGGTGATACTTCTTTTTTAAAGTAAATCTGCCATAAACCGGAGCATCTTTAACTCAGACTCGGCATATGAAATGCATAAGCAGAAGTTATCCTTATTGGAAACTGCATGTTAAAACATTCAGTAGTTCCAGAGATGAATAAAGCTAAAATTTTAGGCAAATCTTGACACAAATGTTGAACTTGACCCTGCCTCTTGTTGCCTCTCAAGCAACCCTATTGCTTACCGTAGTGATAAGCAGCCTCAGTGAGCAACAGGAAGGCTTGGGTGGTTAAAGAGTAAGACCAATCTTTGTATCATATTATATGATTGTATTATATCATTTCAACTGTCTGAATCTCTGGATCTGCTGCTGTTGGATCATTTTGAAATGCAGTTTTCACCAAAGCTAACCTCTAATTAGGTATTTTTTCATCATATTCTCAATATGAATTATCCAAGTTTATGATGGGTTTATTTCAAACCCTTTGTCTCTACAGGCGGCTTCTTACAAGCCTGTGAGGTTCTGTCTAGATCCCAAGTACAATGTTCTTATAAGTAATATGAAAGACATCAGAGGCTTGACATGAAATAGTCTGACCATAATTATAGTTACTGTGACCACAACAGCATTCTATTAAAAAAATAAAGGTTTTAAAGCTTACGCAGAAAACCGCATGTAGATCAGGAACATTTTGAGACTTTCCAAACACAGACAAGTTATGTGTGGGAAATTGTGCGTTGAAGAATTGGAAAATATATTGGTTGACCTAAAGAGCCATTGCTGTGCATTGTGTCTTTTTTATCCAAAGGGACTTATATATAAAAACAAACACATAGTCAGCGATAAATTGCCAACATCAACAAATTAAATTCCAACACACATTTCCTAGTGCATATTAAACAATAGAAGTACCTGATTGTCTTTTTTTATGTCAAAGCAAAGGTGTAAACTGCACTGTCTTACATAGAGTTAGGGGTGCCCTATAGTGACTAAAAACATGAATATGATATATTACAATAAAAAATGAGGGTTATTGACTATTCAGCTGAAGGATCCAGCCGTAGCTTTGGCTGATTATTCGGCCGTCTGAGCCCTTTGGTTAGTGAAAACGAAGTGCCAAGCTGAAGGCATATGCATCGGCTCGACTGAGCCAAAGTGACAGCCGAAGTGCGGAGAAAGTTCTGCCGAAGGGCCGACCTTTCTCCACGCAAATGACAGCTGGGCGGAGCCAGCCGTGATCTCACGTCTCTCTCCGCCCAGTTGTAATGACAGATCAGCATCCCCAAATGACTTGGGGATGCTGATCTGTCATTAAACAATAACAACTGGGAGGAGCTGGCCGTGATAACCCCAGGATCCTAGTGCTGAGTGCAGGGAGGAGGAACTTCCGCTGTGTGGACATTATCCCGGCGGAGAATGCGGCTGTCAATGTGGGAAAGACTCATTGCTTTCACAGGCGGCTACAGGTACGTGGCTGTGCAGCGCTTTAGGGGTCAATGGCGGGAGGGTGTTATCGGTGTCCATACTGAGTGATCAACACTCACATAATGTGTGATCAGCAGCAGACTGTCTCCAGTAATGGCTCTCTCTGAGGGGTGCCTCTCCTGTGTCTCTACCCAACCCGCCTGGCTGCTGCCTTCCACATCTCTAATCTCTTAACCCTGACCTGTCCCCAGAAGCTTCTCACAGTTTCTATCTGTGTGAACTCCTCCATACAACTCTGAACACCCCTCTGAACCCCCGACCTCCTTCCCCTCCATACCCCTCTGTACCCTGACCTTCCTTCTCTCCATACCCCTCTATAACCTAACCTTCTTTCCCTTCCATACCCCCCTGTACCCTGACCTTCCTTCCCCTCCATACCGCTATGTACACTGACCTTCTTTCCCTCCATACCTTTCTGTACCCTAATCTTCCTTCCCCTCCCTACCCCTCTGTACCCTGACCTTCCTTCCCCTAGATACCCCCCTGTACCCTGACCTTTCTTCCCCTCCATACCTCTCTGTACCCTGACTTTCCTTCCCCTCTATACCCCTCTGTTCCCTGACCTTCTTTCCCCTCCATACCTTTCTGTACACTGTTAACATAAAACAAATATCTCCTCTCTCTCTCCTATAAATTCTCCCCAAAAAATTCTGTGCGGCACTAGACTGTTCGGGTTTTGCACGAAGAAAAGGTGGCACAGTCACCTTTGTGGCAAGGTCACAGTCATGCTGGAACAGAAAAGGTCCTTCCCCAAACTCTTGGTTCCCCAAGGGTTGGAGGTACTTAATTGTCCAAAATGTCTTTGTATGTTGTAGCATTAAAAGTACCCTTCTCTGGAAACACCTAAACTTAATAATTTAAAGGGGTGTACACATACTTTTGCCCACATAAAAAGTGTGATGATCAGGTGTAGATATATTCACCTATGTCAAGGGTCTCAAAAACGTTCAACTATACTTCTGACCATCTTCTACTTCATATTTAATTTACTTGACAGAATACCAGTCTGTTCTTATAGCTAGGTCCTGGAGCAGGGATTACACAAAGAGTTATAAACTGACAAGGTGTTTACCCCTTATACAGCCCACTGCACAGGGAACCTCAGCCCAAGCAGATATTACAGTCTACACAGAGATTTCCTTTTGTGTTCCTGAGAATCAGATTTTTATGCTTAAGGTTTAAATACTTTGTGGTAACATTTCACAGGCCTTCTGGGACTCTTAAAGATTATCATACACTTTCTTTCACCCCTATAAAATCCATTTTATGAGGCTAAATAGGGACCTCCGTCTATAAAAACAACAATAGGGGCATTAGAGAGAGGACTGAGGGTTCCCATCCAGGCAGAGGACAAGCAATCATCATAGTCAACGTCATGCGAGGTGACACTAAGGGGCTCATTATAGTGGAATTATCTGCAGTAAAAAGGTTACAGTACTATAAATGATTGTATAATGTATTGTTAGACAATACAATAAGAAAAAAAAAGATGCAAATCATCTTTCTTGCTCTGAATAAATATATATTTTATTAAATGTAACCGACCACCTAAAATTCACACATAACTCACCTCTTAATGCTGAAACCTAGCTTTTGACCTTACCCTAAAATTCCTTACCACCTAACCCTACCACTTAACCTACCGTAATATCCATCTCTTAACCTACCCCTAACCCAAACACCTAAACAAAGTCAGAAAACCTAAACTTAACACTTAATCTAATACCAACACTGAATGCAGAACTATATCTATTTTTTTTATAATAAAAGAAGGAAATAGCTGCAAATGTAAGAAAATAAAAAAGCAGCTTTCATAGCTATATTTACCTTGTCTGCACGGTACCCCTATCCCCTATAGAACCACCACTCCTCTTGTGGTTTGTCAGCACCATTTGACCTGTTTTCTGTAAGCCCTAGTTTTCGGACTATAGGGTTGAATTACCATATCAGTTTAGCCCCACAGTACAATACTGCAGAGATCATCTCTGATGAAAGATGATAAAATAATCACTACTGATAAACCATATGTTACGTCCTACAGAGATGAATGGGGCTGTCTCCTAAATCTTGACTGGTGACACTTAGGAGAATGGCCTACCATAGGAGAATGGCCTACCATAGGAGAATGGCCTACCATCTCTATAGAACATAATCGTACTGTAATGACTTGTGAGGACATGTAATGACTAGTGAGTATTGTTGAGGAGAATTCAAACAAAAACATGGCCTTTGGCTGTCATATTAAGCTGTATTGGAAGACGTTTTTTTTAATTTTTATTGAAGTTGTGAGCGCTTAGGGAAAAAAATAAAAAAGTTTGCATTTGAGGTCTGCATTAGTTATACATTGACTCAAGGTGGTGAGGGACAGTATAATAAGGTACTTTTTAGGGAAGTGGACTGGTTTAAACTCAGTAATCCCCCTAGCATTATTTCTTATTTGGGCCATGCACTTGACAATTTTGCTGCTTTCATTCAGCTTTTAACCAGCCAAAGCAACCAGATAATAAATATTGGGTTGAAAGTCACTTTTCGAGTGCTAGTGGGCATGATTTACTAATGGAATAGAGAGGACTTAACAAAGGGGGACTCAAGGCTGTGACACACTGCGAGTGGAGCAGCGTTTGAGCGCAGACCTTCGTCATGTTCACTGCAACATGTCAGCTTGCAAAAGCTCGCATAGCTGAGTGCGCCAAGATAAAATCTGCGCGTCAGGATTCGAAGTCCATTCAGTTGTTATGCGTGGGCCGTTTGGCTGCATGTGCAGTCTTTCATCTGGCCGTGCTGAGCTCACACACTGCACGCGAACCTCCATGCCTGAAAGCTTTGCTTTGCTCTGCCCAGCTTTGCATGCAGTGTGTCACGGGCTTCAAGACCTTTTCTTGCACATGATCAGGTGATTGCAGTGACCTTCACCACATTTACTAAGCTAAGTGAACATTCACTTTACCCTATTGAATGGATTGTGTCCACTCTGTCTATCCTGTCCTGAGATTTACACATCCTACCATGCAGTACAGCCAACATGGTGACTTGATTTTTCTCTACTGCATTTAAGCAACAGAGTTTGGTCACCTCTAATACATTAATGCATAGTAAAGGAGCAGCAATAGTGTTTAGATCATCTCTCTTCTCTCACATCCTGTCAGCATTTTCCTCTGTCAGAAGACGTAAATGAAGTATACCTGTTTGGCCCCAAGTACTGCCCCTCTCTCTCCTAGTCTGAGTGCTGCTGTACAGGAAAGTGCAGGAGGCTACAAATATGTTTAATTCGGGTATTTATTTTACCTGTGTTTAAAGCACATTTATTAATATTTTTTACTAAATATTAAATTGCATTTTTTGGTGCCTTGAATTTATATTTAACCATTAAAAGTCCAAAAATTGTATGCATTACAATTGTCAGGTACCAATGCATTACTGCATTGGTACCCGACAGCATACCTCAGCAGTTCTTATAAAAATTTAATTTAAAAAATGATGTGTGGTTCCCCCCGAGAATCTATACCAGACGGATTTTAAGATGGTCCCTGTGCAATAAAATTAAAAAAAAAACTACTTGGAGTTCCCCCCTACATATTAGAGTCCACAACTTTCACATGAAAGAAGGGGGAAAATTAGAGCGCAAATCCTGGGAATGTGGGGGGTATAGGGACAGCCAGTGTCTGTGTGTGACGGGTGGAAAAACAAAAATCAAATCACAAAAGGTGAAGGACTTACTTGTGGAGCCGAGGTCCTGTTTTGGAGGGCCCTTTTGGAGTGTGGGCAGTGCGAGATGTATTCGGTGTCTCCCAGCAGGTGGAGGGATGGATGAAGGAGGAATCAATGTGGACTGGATGCTGTATGTGCCCGGGGACTGGTGAAGAAGCTGCCTATGGTCTTGATGGCAGTGTTCTTAGGACGTGATGGAGTGAAAGGGACCGAGGGCTGGGAGAGGACGTGTACAGAACAGTGATAGAGGAGCGACGCGTTTCGAGGTGATCCTCTTTTTCAAGCTCAAGTGAAAGGGTGAATAACATTGGCGGGAGGTGATTCGTCAATACAGATCGGGGGGTTCTTATAACATGACATAATATAAGAGAACCGGGGGGATTCAGTTCTGCGAGTGTGTTGTATTGTGTTTTGTTAAAAGGATTTAAAAGGATGAATTAAAATTGGTATACCAATCATAAATAGTTATGAATGAATAAAAAGAATAATTCATGAGTAATTAATGAATAAATAATGAATACATTAAATGGATCGATCAGTCAATTGCTTGATTGAATCAATTAAAAACGAGTCTGACTTTAATGGCTGATAAGGCTGTGCGTTCTCTAATTAGACATTTTGGTTTGTAAAAGAACTCGCTACAAACCACGACATAGTCATTAAACAAGCAAAAAAAGGTGGTGGCATTGTAATTCAGGACCGTCCTGATTATATAAACGAAGCCCGTAGGCTCTTGGATGATGAGTCTACCTACATCTCTTTACCTTCCGATCCTCTCACCACCTACCAAACAGAACTACTCCACCTACTTGAAACAGCCACAGAGGACAACATCCTCACCAAAAAAGAGAGAGCCTTCCTATACCCCCAACACCCCCAAACTCCTTACTTCTACCACCTGCCCAAGATCCATAAAGATGCCAATGCACCCCCTGGCCGTCCAATAATAGCCACCACTAACA